AGGGGCTAGCCACCCCTGATTGCCACGCTGCTCGGGAGTTGGGCTGGCTCCTCCCAGGAAAACAATCCCAACCCTGCTCCCTAGTGGGAACTGACTGGCAGGATGTGGCCCATACACACAGACTGAGTGCCTGGGAGCTGGTAGGCAGAGGCTGGGCACAGAGGCCCTTGTTCACATTGTGATGGCAGAAATGTGGCAGCGGCTTTAGATGGCGAGTGACGTCGTGGTCTAAAAGTGGAGAAGCCTGGCTTCATGCAGTTCGTGTCGGCATCCCTCTGAAATCCCTGGCTGTGCGCACGGGCAAAGTTTAGGGACAAACCCCAGCTAGGAGGGGCTCACGAACCCGCCGTGGGGCTGCTAAGGTGACTCACGTCATGTTCGTGTGAAGGGAGTTGGTTCTGTAACTTGGTTTATCTGGGTCACTGCTGCGGTTGGAGGTTGCATGGTAGATGGGGAGAGGCTGTATGTGGAGGAGGCAGTGTCCCCGACACAGGCATCCTTAACTTGTTCCTGAGACTGTCCATACCCGGCTCCTCTCGTGCTGGAATAATGTAACTGGGTGAGGCCTGGGGAGAGCTGCTGGAGCTTGCGCTCCTCTGTTAGCCGAGCGACCGTAGCGCACGCTAGGGATGTCAACATGTGGTCGACATGGAGGGCCACTAATGGCAACTGGCAAAAGGTTCACTGTTCTTTTCACACAACTCCACACATTCCCTACCTTGCTGCCTCTGCATCAGAGGCAGCAAGGGGGCAGGAGCCAGTGCCCATGAGGAGCTGGCTTTAAGCAGGCTCCCCACGAGCACCGAATCCATGTTCCCCTCTCCCTGTGCTGCTGCCTTTGATAGAGAGGCAGCTGCATATGGGGAGCAGGGGGCTCTCTGGGAGTGGGGCCAGAGCGCACTGGCTGCCGTCCCTGCTTCGGGGACTATCGAATAGCTGTGTCACCACTAAGATTTCCTGCAGTTACACAACTATTCAATTACCCGCTATCAAACATTGCTACCACACACAGGTAATAGCAAGCCAGGCTGCAGGCCTCCAGATGTGCTCCTCTGCTTCTTGCTGGTAGAGGGTGATCTAGAACCGAACCCGCTTTGACTTGTCCGTGCTCCTGGGGACGTGGTTGTGCTCTGCCACATGGGAATCGCAGGGAATAGGGCACTTGGCTGCTTCGTGTTGTCCCTCTCTAGTAGTGCACGTGAGCAACTCCTGCGTCCAGAGCTTGCATGGAAAGAGAAACGCAGCAGCCTACTGAGGCTGCCGTGGGTGCACGTGCGAGGAGTGAAAAGGACACTCGCTTCCGAGGGGAGGTCAGGCCGTACAAGCGTAGAGAGGAGAATCGGAAACCCTTCTGCAGAGCCTGCTGGGGCCCTCTGTCTGCCAGAGCTCATCTGGACTGGTGTGAGTGCCCTGCAAAGCTCCTCTGTGACCCTTTGAGCCCCAGGCTGTGGCCACAGGCCCAGCATGTCTAAGCTAGTCTCCAGCTGGGCACTCATGTCTCTGTGCCCCCAAACCAGCATTTCCACACACATCAGCCTGATTTGCCTGCAGACAGTCTCGTTTGGGCGTGCAGTTGCTGGCAGCGAGGGGGAGGCCCTGTCCGGCTGTGAGCCTGGAGCTGTATGCAGAAAGGTGTGTGCAGGGGACAGTCGGCGCCTGCGTGTTTTGGAGAGAGGCGTTGCAGTTCTCTGGGGCAGATGCAGAGGTGTGCTGGAAACAAGCAGTCCTGAAGAGTTTGACCTTCATTGCCCAAAGGCCAGTGGCAGCGGCTGAGTTTCCTGCGGGGTGAGGAGCCCATCCTGGCTGGTACAGGAAGGAGCTGCGGCTGCCCAGCTTGTGCAGGGGACAGTCGGCGCCTGCGTGTTTTGGAGAGAGGCGTTGCAGTTCTCTGGGGCAGATGCAGAGGTGTGCTGGAAACAAGCAGTCCTGAAGAGTTTGACCTTCATTGCCCAAAGGCCAGTGGCAGCGGCTGAGTTTCCTGCGGGGTGAGGAGCCCATCCTGGCTGGTACAGGAAGGAGCTGCGGCTGCCCAGCTGCTTGAG